TATTTGTGTATTTGTTCATCCAAATGTGTGTGTGTATTTGTTATCAGAACACAGTAATCATCATGCAGTCATGCACATACACACATACAAACTTTCACAGTGGTCACTGTCAACACACTTTCACACAAACATACTCCTGAGTTCCATGTCATTGTGTTTTAAACTCTCTATTACTAACATGTAGGGAATAATCTAAGATCTTTACCTTCTATAATTATGTGCTTGAGTATACTAAAAAATTGTGCTTTAAGAAGACTAAAAATGCTGTGCTGTGATAACACTAAGATGTGCTCTTAATGATGCTGACAAAACTGTAATATACAACACCTTCTAACAGTGCTAATATTACCTACAGCAATGTTAGTCCTGATCTGAAGAATCAGCTTCTTTCCAGGGCTTAATCCATCGAGCCGGTATCCATCGAACACCTGTATCTGTTAGGATACAAGCATAGCCTCTTCCAGTCATCTTCACTTCTGCCGGCCCTTTCCATTCCCCTGTTTGTGGATCCTTATATTGTACTTTAACTACTACCTGTTGACTTACCAGACCCGACTGCAAGGAAGTGTTATGAATAACAATGGGAGGGTCTGTTCTAGTATCCGTCAGCCGCAAAAAATTCAGCACATATAGCACTTTTGCAAGTCGGTCATGTGGACTGACTAGCTCTTCTCCCCCTTTCTGTTTTTGCAATAGTGACTTCAGAACTCCGTGAGTTCGTTCAATGATAGCTTGACTTGTAGGAGAATGAGCAATACCAGTAACGTGAGAAATACCCCAATTCATACAAAACCTTTGGAAACGTTGTGAGGTATAACCAGGTCCGTTATCAGTTTTAAGTTCTGTGGGGATCCCTAGGACCCCTATGCATGCATACATATTTCGAATGACATATCTGGTACCTTCTCCAGCCTGAGCAGAGGCCCACATGGCATGAGAAAAGGTATCAATTTATACATGCACATATTTTAACCTCCCAAATTCCGCAACATGAGTAACATCCATTTGCCACAGCTGCAATGCTTGTAGCCCCCGAGGACTGACTCCTAAGCCAATGCCCAGTCCGTTCCTATGACAGGCTGAACAGGCCTGTACAATTCCTCGTGTGTCCGATGAAGTGAGCCCAAACTGCCTGACTAATACATCGGCAGACTGATGAAAAAAGTCATGGGACAGGACTGCTTGCTGAAACTTATTTACTGCAGGACCAGTCCGTGCAGGTGCCACTAATTTATCTGCTCTGTTATTCCCAATTGCTAAACCACCATCTAGCTTCTGATGGCTTCTTATGTGAGTGACGAAATAGGGCTGTGTTCGCTGATCTAGCAAATGCAGCAACTGTGTCATAAGTGCTGCTAAGATTTTATTTTTCAGGGTTTTGATCATTGCTCGCTCGATTTGTTGCACTGTACCTACTACATAAAGTGAATCTGAAACCACATTAACAGGTTCTTCCTTCCAGAAGTTTAAGGCCCACACCACACCCCTCAATTCAAGGGTTTGTAATGTGTCTCCTGAAACACCTGGAAGTATTTTATGTTTCCATTCTGCCCCCTCCTGCCAAGTAATTGCTGCACGCTGAGATTTTCTACCGGCGTCTGTAAAAACACTAATCCCAGCAACTGGGTCATCTGAACGCAACACAAGCTGCTCAATTGTCTGATGTTGCAGCAAAGGCAACAATTTGTCTGATGGATAATGATTGGTGACCAGACCTTCAAAGTCCTCCATGGCTATCTGGAATGGTTCTGACTTCTCAAGCAACCACTCCAAATAGTTCTGGGCGACTGGTACAAATATTACAGATGGATCTCTGCCAATTAAATCACAAACTCTCCGTCACCCTTTTATGACAAGTTGTGCAAACAATTCAGGTCGTGTTATGATTGTCTTTTTGAGTTGATATGGTAAAAATACCCATTCTAAAATTCTTATACTGGTTGCGATTTGACAGATGATGCCCAATGGATGCTTTCTGCTCTCTCCAGAATTAACAAGTAGGTACTGCACTGGTTGGTCTTCTATTATTCTACAAGCATATTCTGCAGCTATTTTTCCTGAGATATTAACTATAGCTGCTTTTTGGTCTTCTGACAATTCTCTTGGAAGTCCTGCCTGAGCAACTGATCCTAACAAAGGCATCAGAGGAGCTAGATCATCATTGGTTATTCCACACACAGGTCTTACCCACTGTAGGTCACCCATCAGCTTCTGCACATCAGTCAAAGTCTTTATCGCAGTATTAATGACTAATTTCTGTGGCCTCACTACACCATTCGTGATGGTCCAACCCAGGTATTGCCATGGCTCCTGCTTCTGAATCTTTTCAGGGGGAATTTTAAGGCCTCGTCGACCCAACTCTTGTTCTAATTGCTGTAACAGCACAGGCACATTCAGATTTTTTCCTGCTATCAGAATATCATCTACGTAATTATATACTAATAAGTCAGGATGTTGGGTTCGAAATGACTGCAAGGCCCATGCAACATAAATTTGACACATAGTGGGTGAATTTTTCATCCCCTGAGGAAGAGTTATCCAATGAAAACACTGTGCTGGTGCTGCTTTGTTAATTGAAGGCACTGTGAAGGCAAACCTGACAGCATCGTCTGGATGCAAAAGGATTGTGACAAAACAGTGCTTTAAATCTATCACCAGTATGACCCAATCATGGGGGATCATCATAGGAGAAGGCAGACCAGGCTGTAAAGGCCCCATATCTTCTATGACCGCGTTGACAGCTCGCAGATCATGTAATAATCTCCATTTTCCTGATTTCTTTGGGATAGCAAATATGGGAGTGTTCCATGGACTCGTAGATGGAACGATATGTCCTGCATCCAATTTCTCCTGAACTAATTGTTGAACTATTTGCAGCCTCTCCTTTTTCAGCGGCCACTGATCTATCCATACTGGTTTGTTTGTTTTCCACTGCAGTTTTAAGGTTGGCTGCCTATCAATGGCCGCTCCTGAAAAGGAGAAGTAACCAGACGTGCTCCCATTTGCCCCAACAGATCTCGACCTATCAGGCCTACGGGTAGAGATAACACATAAGGACGCGTTCCCACTATTGCTCCATCAGAAAACTGAAAAGTTATCACATCTTTGCTGATCCATGTCTGCTGTACACCGCCTACTCCCTTAACTCCTGTAGGTGCCATTTCCACAGGCCATGCTTGAGGCCATTTATGCTTAGGAATAATTGAAATGTCAGCCCCGGTGTCAGGAAGCATAGTCATAGTGCTGGATTGTCCATTAGGATGCCGTATAATTACATCCTCCTCGGGTTTTCCCTGCTTTATGTCTACTGCTAACATCACCTCAGGGGGGCCTGTTGAGCCAAAACCCCCATCTCCTCGTGTCAGTGGTTCTGCATTAGGCACTTCTGCTTTAAAAGGCACTAGCTGAGCTATTTTACTGTTAGAAGGAATAAAAACTGGTGGTGTTAAAGTGTATACCATAATTTTGATTACACCTGTGAAATCTGCATCTATGACTCCAGGCAGTACAAAAATTCCCTGGCAAGACAAAGATGAACGTCCTAACAAAAGAGCACTCAATCCTCTACCTAAAGGTCCTTGCAATGTAGAATCAATCAAGTGCACATTTGGAGTCTCAAGCATAGTATCTACTGCTGTTGCCAAGTCCACGCCGGCACTTCCTGCAGTGGTTGCACAGCAGCGTTCCAAGCACCCTGATTTACTGTCATGGCGCGAGAGTGCATTCATTTGACAGTTATTACACCACCTTGACCCTCCTGCTGTTAATGCAGGGTGAGCAGTCCCTGGCAAAGGAAATGCTCGACACTGGGTGCTGAGATGTCCCTTCTGACCACAGGTAAAACATCTCTTTTCTTTGCGTTTCTTACCATTCCTTCGTCCCCCAGACATAAGAGGCTTTACTACTGCACCTACTGCAGTAGCCAGATAGGCTGCGTCCTCCTGTTTGAGCATTCTTGTTGCAACCTCCAGGAGCTGAGTTGCGCCAGCACCCCTAGGCAGTGTGCTTAAAACCTGTTTGGTTTTATCATTGGCGTTATCATAGGCCAACATATCGATAAATTTTGCCTTCATGCCACTATCCATGTCTGGATCTGTATTTACTGACTGACATAAACGATCTATAAACTGATTGTATGGTTCATTGGGCCCCTGTTTGATCATAGTACATGGGGGCCCTGACCTTGCATCCCTCACTGCAAGCAAGGACTTGTAGGCTAGGTCTTGGCTGGTTCGTAGTGCCTCATCTGGAAACCGTGCTTGTATGTCTATTGTGTTGTACTGACCAATACCCATGAGCATGTCAGCCGTAACGCCATAGAGAGGGTGACCTTGCTGCCTAGGCTGTGCTGCAGCTGCTGCACAGCTAGCATCCCACTTATTAAAAAATTGTAGCTGCTGAGAAGGAGTCAGCAGCATGGTTACTATCATACGTGTATCAAACGGTGTTAGCAAATTTGCAGTAAAAAGGTGTTGCATTATTGATTGTGAATAACTGCTCTTTAAACCATACTGGGAAACGGCTGCTTTAGCCTCTTCGATGATTTTCCAATCTAAAACTTCCCAGGATTTACGCCCTGCACCATCTATAATTGCAGGGAAAGCGCTAAGAGCCCAAAATCCCCATCAGAAGCAGCATCCTGTATGATGTTCTTCCAATTCTGTGCTGGATTACCACTCACCCCCTCCCTCCCCCTCCCTCCACCCGGCAAGGCTGGAATCCCCATATCAGAAGTTCCCACCCCGGGCATCCCGGGAAAGGGGTTTGGAGGAGGTGATGTCGGCACTATAGATGACGCTGGAACATTGCAGAAGTTTGCATGCTGCAGAGCGAACTGTCTCTCTGCCAATGTAGACTTGAGCTCTTCAAAGTAACGCAACAAATTATTCATCTGATCTTTTGCTGCAAGCATAGTAAGTCTTTCGCTTTCATCCTCCGAGCTCTCATCATCAGAAGTCAGACTTGGGGACGGAAGCGGAGGTAATAGCTGTTCTGCGTTGTCATGAGTCGATTGTTCTTTCATCTTCCGCAGCAATATTGGTGCAAGGGTAGTGGTCCCTCCTCCGGTAGCTCCCACCTCTGTTGAAATAGCGGCGACTCTCGCCGGCGTAGCGGCAGCTGTAGTCGGAATAGCTCTGGTTGCCATAGCAACGATCCTCGTCGGCTTACTTCCGGGTTCAGATGCGACGCTTCCTGATGACTTAAGTTCAGGCGACATGGTGGTTCCAGACGGTAGTGATACAGCACTCCCTGGTGACGCGGAGGCTCCTAGCATCGTTGTACCGGGCGGCGCCTGCATGGTGACAGTTGCTGGCGTAGCACCCAGAGCAGGCGCAGTGGGGGGTGGTGCCGCTGACTGCGCAGGCTCAGTAAGAGATGGCAGTGTTGGCTGCGCAGGCGCAACAGAGGGCGTTGCCAATGGTGCGGCGCCAGCCCTGTTCTCCGCAGTCTCTGCTTTTTGTGCCAGCGCTGGTGCACTGCTGAACCGGGACAAACCCGCAGTTTTTAAAACTTTTATCGTTCGTGCCTTTGCAGGCGCAGGACCCGAAACCTCCCCGAAAGCAAACTGTTCTGCACACGTTTGCGCTACAGTCTCTCCATCACCCTGGAAAGCTGCCTGTGCAACCGCCTCTGCAGCCGCCTCTGCAACCGTAGATGCTTGGTGCAAAGCGTTCCGTCTCTCTAGCGTTTCAACTACCAGACGCCAAAGCGTAGGATATTTTCTTGTGTCTTTTGACCCCTTAGACATCTCTTCCCATAAATGTTCCTTTATAGTATCCCATGTGGACACTTCAAAGGCGGCTTGAGCAGTAGGGATTAGCTTCTTCGCTCTCGCCCTTTCCAATAACCCTCTAAGGGCTTTTTCATCATACTTGGACTCTCTTAGAGAGATTATATAGTGGAGGAGCTTTACCACAGCCTCTTCCTCTTTGGATAGGGTGGGCCCCATTTCTCCTCCCACAACCGACTCACCTGGCCAAGGCAAGATTTCTCTGTACCACGCTCGTGGCTTTACATTCGTGGTGCCAGGGGAAAACGCCACCTCCAACGGCTGCTTCCCTCAACTCCTTCCATTCGTCTTACATCCCATAGAACTCGATGAAGTAGAAGTCCCTGTCAATTGGGCGCCAGGTATCAGCGGAGGGGTATGAACATACTGCTCACAGATCAATATGATCGGCAAGATGTCAGCTTTATTAGAGAAAAGACAGCTTATATATTGCTCACGACACACAGACATGTGATTCTTCTCCAGGCTACATTGGATACACAAGGAAAACATACTGCATCATACAGTATTAATTGGATCACAGCAGGTGTCCATAAAACTTGTTTACCTGCCAAAAGAACTCCTCCTTCACCTTGGCACAAGGCCTGCAGCCATATTAGTGGCATAGTATTTTTTACTGTCTGCACCCAGCCATGCCAAGGCAGAGGTCGCAGAAATGCAATAGAAATTGTTCACACAATTTCTGTCCTCCGACAGAGACTGACAGGCCTGTAGTTTCCAAGGTCCTCCTTATTGCCCTTCTTGAAAATCAGGACAACTTTCACCAGCTTCCAGTCAACTGGGACCTCTCTTGTCTCTGTCCCTGTTTGTGAGGTGACCATCCTCATCCTGTAACAGACCGATGATATTTCTATACTGCCTATTGCCATTAATATATTTGGAAAAACTCTTTTTATTATCCCCCACAATTATTATTGTTTAGTCTAGAGAAGAGAAGACTGAGAGTGGATCTCATCGATGCATATAAATATCTGAAAGGCGGGTGCCAAGAGGATGGTGCCAGACTCTTTTTTGGTGGTGTCCAGTGACAGGACAAGGACCAACGACCATAAACTAAAACACAAGAAGTTCCACCTCAACATGAGGAAGAACTTCTTCACACTGAGGGTGGCAGAGCACTGGAACAGGCTGCCCAGGGAGGTCATGGAGTCTCCCTTTCTGGAGACATTCAAAACCCACCTGGACATGTTCCTGGGTAACATGCTCTAGGTGACCCTGCTTTGGCAGGGGGGTTGGACAAGATGATCTCCAGAGGTGCCTTCCAACCCTAACAATTCTGTGATGGGTGAAAATTCAAGTTTTTAGAAGCAAAATCTCCATTTCTCTGTGGTTTTATTTCTTTTTTTTTTTTCTTTTCTTCTTTCACTACATCTTGAGAAAAAACTCTGGGGGATGGGAGAAGCTGCAGTGGCCAGAGTGGCAGTCTGGATCACTGCCAGCAGGATCCCTGGCACCCCAACCCATCAGATTGTGCCTCCATTATAGGACTTCTCTGTTCTTTAAAGAAAAAAAATTAAGACAAAATTGGTTTTCAGGTCTTCTCCCAGAAGACTGATGCTGTGCCTGGGTGGTCTGCAATGGGTTTTTAATCCATTTTTCCTCCGCTTCCTGAGAAATCAGGGAGCAGGAAAAAACAAGAGCAACAGGCACAATCCTGAGCCTTATAATACTAATGGGCTTTACCACCTTGATCAAGTTCGGCTGCTCATTAATACTATCAAATCCCATTGCTACTGATGAAGTTGACCCAATGCAAGGTGCCATCACCATGGGAAGCTCCTGGGCTTGATTTCACAAAGCAGAAAATAAATTTTCCAGACAAATCCAGTGCACCCAGCAATCATTTTACTGCTTTCTGGGTAAACAGGAAAGCTGAAGCTCTTGTCGCTCACTACTGTTGCTCCATGTGCGGAATAAAAACCACATCAGCAGAAAAACAGATGAAAATTCAAATAATACTGAACCACAGCATCACGACCTGTCACTAGACAAGCAAATAAGGAGACCACCAAGTCTTCATCATTCGGGGAGTGATGCAATGGCATGGCATTCCTCTGTACCACTCTCCTCACCCTTCGGGCATTTCCTTGTCCAGGAGGCATCTTGCCTTCACCCCCCCCCACAGCCACCCTCTCCCTTGGGATGCTCCAACACAGAGCAACCTGGGTATCCAGGAGCAACCTGGGGACCTCTGAGCAAACTTTCCCTCTCTTAACATGTCACCCATCCCTCGATGACATGGTGCCACTTACACCAACCACAGGACAGAGCTGCTCTTGTACACCACACACCTAGAAACACTGGACTGCAAATTCAGCTAGTTAGAAGCCAGGCTCAATCCTTCTATTTTTGGCTTTTTCAATTTTTCCCCTCTTCTTTTTTCCTCCTTTTTGCCATACATTGTTTGTCTTCTCTTTACCATCTCCAAAGATTAAACCTCCATTTCTCCCTTGCCTTGTACGTTATTAGGCCCGACTATAACAGGTCTGGATTTAAATGTATAATTACAACCATGACAGTAACTACAATAAAGCACTCCTTCAATGGAAAAAAAATTATTGCATTAAAAAAAAGGGTTATAGTGGCTGAAGGATAATGATGACTTAAACAGCAAAAGCTGCAGAATCCCCAGTTTCTTAGAGCTCCCAGCTCAGAGGACATGTTTCTCAATCCATCGAGGAGGTTACTGGCAAGATGACAATGGCTACATTACTTCTGCAATGGCTTTTGGGCTCCTTTAAAATGCTCTTCTGCTTCAGCACCTTCACATAAACCATTAGTCAGCTGGTGGGAAGGCGTTGCTTTCCTCCTCTCCAAGCTGCTCGCAATTGTCCATTCAACAATAAAATAAAATAAAATAAGAAGAAATTACAAATGATAAAGAAAAAGAAAACCCAGTGCAAATAAGAAAGTCATCCTGCTCTCCAATCTGCTTTCAAAAGGGTGGCGAGTGGGGGGGGGGCAAAGACAAGAGGAGGGAGGGAGGGGAACCTAGCTCAAGCCCTGTTCAACAAAAGCCATCAGTTATGAGCGTCTGGTGTAGCGTGTCTGGCTTTGTCCTCCTGAGACATCTGCTGCCTGCTATCTCCTGCCAGTTGGCCAGGGCAAGGCAGGAGGACAGCATGAAAACAATACTAGTCCCCACTTGGATTAGTTGTTTGTTTGGGTTTTTTTTCCAAATTCTCTGTCTGCTTTTGAAAGCCAAACAATAACCTGGCAGGATGCGTTGCTGTTGCTTGAGCAATGAGTTCAGAAAAAATAACCTGACATGGCTGAAAAAGAGACATGCTTCTCCGTCCCCACCCCCATGAATGCATTCTCAAGCATGCTGGGGTTTGGTCTTCTGGGGGATTTAAATCAGAAAAGCTTTCACCAGATCCCATCAAGGTGCATGTCTTCTTCTCATCCCTTCCCACCCCACCTTGTCCTGTCACCCAAGTCATCAGTTTTTGGATGGTCTTGTTGTAGTACTGCATGATGGTGGGTGTCAGGGGGTTCCAGTTGTTGGTGTGCAACTCAATGACCTTCAGCAGCAGGGACCGCATCAGCATGGACTCAGAGGGGCACAGCATCTTGTCACGTGCTACTGCCAACAGCTCCGTCATCTTCTCGGGCAGCTGCTCCTCCAGTAGCCATCCGGTGCTCTGCAGCTGTCAGGAGAAGAAGGAGTCAACCATGGCTTATTGATCTTTGTGGGTCCCTTCCAAGTGGAGATATTTTATGATCCTATTATTCTATTATATTAAGACACCCCCCTGGCTTCTACAGACTCCCTCCATCCCTCCAATTCTTCCCTGCTTGGTGTGGCAGGGCAAACAGGCAAGGTTAAAGGCATAATGGCTTTTGAAAATCAAAACCACCCAGCAGCAGGCTCCAAGAGCATGAAGGGTGAGGTTTTCAAAAGCATCTGTGCCGGGCTGCTGGAGGAGCAAATAGTCCAGCTCCTGCTAACTTGAAAGGAAGAAATACTGAATTGCTTTTGAAAAAAAAAATCCCACCTGTCATGGTTTGAGAGCCCTAAAATCCAATTCCCTAGTTCTAGCCCCCCTCCCACATCTCAACCCAGTGTGAGATGGGTTTTCCAGACACCACACGAGACTCAGAATGGGGGGAAAGGGTCATATTACAATGACTGTACAAAATAAATACTACAATACATTATATACAATCTTAACTATCTCTACCATGACAAAACAGTATTTACAATGGATCAAATCTCTTCTTCCTCCAAATAAAAGTCCAGGAGGGAAGAAGGAAGAGATCCTTTCTACTCTCAGAGCAGCAGTCCCTAGGGCAGCAGTTTCTCTTTCTCTCTTCCATGCAGCAGCTGTAACTGGATCTCTGCCAGTACACACGAGGGGGGTATCCAAGCCCCTCGGCCCTTCGTCTCCAAGCGAGGGTCTTCTCTTCCGTGGGCTGTGTTCACCCGGACAAAGGTCACTTCACCACGGTCATATCAACAAAGTACAGAAGCCTTCGTGACAGTCCGTATCTTTAGGGGATTCAAGCCCCCTTTGCAGAGCTTCTGGCTCTGATCTCAGGCTGCTAGCTTCTTTGTAGCTGCAGCAAGGGGGGGCCCAAGGTCACCCCCCACACACATTCCATCGGCTGTCCTGGTCCAGCTTTCCAGGACGCCTGAGCTTCTTAGCTCCTCTTTCAGCAGTGCTGCTGCACTTTAGGACTTCCATTCAGCAGGAGTCCACCCCCTCCATTTTAGGAGGGATCTCAAAGGAGTTTGGGGTTTTGGTTCAGTTCTTACCAAAACTCTCTCTCTGTAGAGCTTAGTCCTGCTCTGTCTCTCTCCGTTAGAGATCTCTGTGTCTTCTCCCCTTAGCTGCAATGCCGGCTTCGCTGCTTGCTTCAGTCCTTATCTCTTTCTGTCTCTCTGCCACTTCTCCTCGGTCAGTGTTCTTTTGCTGCCGCTTCTGCTGCTCACGGTGGAGAAAAACTCTCAGCTTTCTCAGTTACAGATACTTAGTCCAGTCTTACACTGTTCCAAGTCCCTGTAGCCCCCAGTCGGGGGCAGGGGGGGACGGGGCCAGAGTCTCCAAGGGGCTCCTGCCCCTTCCTCCTCGTGGCTCTACAACATGACTACTCCTCCAACTACAACTACAACAACTACTTTCTTTTCCGGTCTAAGTGTGATATGTTTATATTTCGCAGAAGCGCCCATTGGCTCAAACCCCAAGGGTCACCACCCCCTGGGGGTTTACCATTTTATAACTTCAGGGGGAAAACTGTTTTCCCCCACCACAAAACTTAAAAATCATACTATTGTCAAAACAAAGTGCATGCTGTGATGTGTTATTCCTGCCTTCTACCTGGCCATTCATTTATTTGCTGATTCACAGCTCTCAGTGACTCCCAGTCATTAATCCTAATAAGCAGAACCCTTCTGTGTGCATAACAAATCCTGCCCTGACAAGATCTGCATTTATACCTATTGCGCTGCTTCACTGAGGACAGTCAAGATTTTTTTTTTAAACAATTACTCCTTGGAGAGCCTCCATGGAGCAGCATAAGCCCTAGGTGGTTCCACAGAGGAGAAGGTGCAAGCTGGGAGTGGACAGCAATGAGTCCACCATCATGGAAGATTCGTGGGGGTTGAATGCAGAGCTCCCCAAAGTCCTCACCTTAAAAATTCAAATCCTCCTCCTCGGTTGTCTGTGACTTTACTGAATTTCAACCATTCAGGCTGTAAGTTCAACCGCTCTCTGCAAGGAAAGCATCCATCCCCACAGGCAAATCACTTCCCAAAAAAGAAACTATTGAAACTCTGCTATATTTATACCAGCATTTTTCTGCAAAGCTGCTGCTGAGCCCAGCAAATCTCTCTGTGTGAGCTACAGAGCAGCTTTTGCTTCAATACAGGTGTTTTTGTGCTTAAAAAATAAATGCAGGGTGAGATTCGAAGGAACCAGGATGATATAATTTTGTGGTGGGACCCCAGTTACCAAACCTTTTGCATCCATTTACATGCATCAGAAGTCCAGTGATAGAGTGTCAAGGGCCAACTCTTATCTCACAGTACTGTCTTTTATCTACTCCTCTCTGGTGAGACCCCAAGTGGAGTACTGCCTCCAGTTCTGAGGTCCTCAGGACAGGAAAGACATGTACCTGTTGGAGCAGGTCCAGAGGAGGCCATAAAAATGGTCAGAGGGCTGGAGCACCCCTCCTATGAGGACACGCTGAGAGAGTTGGGATTGTTCAGCCTGGAGAAGAGAAGGTTCCAGGGAGACCTTAGAGCACCTTCCAGTACCTACAGGGGCTACAAGAGAGCTGGAGAGGGACTTTTGACAAGTGCATGGAGTGATAGGACAAGGGAGAATGGCTTCAAACTGACAGAGGGCAGGTTTAGATTAGATATTGGGAAGAAATTCTTGACTGTGAGGGTAGTGAGGCACTGAAACTGGTTGCCCAGAGAAGCTGTAGATGCCCCATTCCTGGAAACAGGGTCAGGTTTCAAGGTCAAGTTGGATGGGGCTCTGAGCAACCTGATGTAGTTGAAGATGTCCCTGCCCATGGCAGGGGGTTGGATTAGATGGCCTTTAAAGGTCCCTTCCAACCCAAACCATTTGGTGATTCCATAACACAAAGGGTCAACACAGCTGTTTGGGTTTGGAAACATCTAATAGCTGCTTGACATGTGTGTGGCTAAGGACAGAAGGGGCATAGGAATGAGAACTGAGGCAGGTGGTGCAGGTGCTTCCCTACCTCCATGGAGCAGCAAAGCACAGCATCTTCCTTCACATCCTGACATTGCAACAACTGCAAAAGAGAGGAGAGGTGATGAGAAATGCATGACCTGCTCCTCCTCCCTTATGACCTTCCTTTCATGTCTTCATCCAGCTTGGTTTTTGCCAGTTCCAGGAGGAAACGACAGAAAATCAGAAAGAGGGGAGGAAAGATATTATCAACACAAAAAATTAAGATAAACAGTGACAAAATGCAGGGTAAAGGGTATCACCAGCCTACCCACTGCTGAGTGTGAGTAAGCATGGCAGAATATAGACTTTAGATTAACAACTTTCAAAATCAAATTATTTAGGTTACATTGTTTTTTTCATTCCACGACAAGCAATGAGAAAACACACTAGTTTCACATACACAGTGACTAAATACAGCCATCAGACAACAACATTTGAGCAGCACAGCCCTGGGAGCAGCTGTTTGGAAGGGAAGGGCTCTGTGCAAGAGGCAGCCACCCACCACCGAACCTTTCCATCCCTGTGGGAATACTTGTAACAGCCACAAAATTACCTGATGGGAAAGCATTACATCCAATTCACTGTATTTAACATGACTCCTTCTAGACTGATTATAGTGGTGCAAGTGCAATGGGTGCCAACAAAACTATGGTGTCTTAGTGCACCAACTTCAACCCTACTCTGCTCTCCATGAACTTTGCATTACAAACATGAGCTTGTAAGCACAAGCAACCTTCAAGAAAGACCCAAAATGTTGTTGGGCATGGCGTAAGATGGCAAAGGAAGATGCTCGCCCAGTGGTTCAGACAAGGGTGTGCAGTGAGGGTCAACGCCTCTACCTGACAATGGCAAAGTGTAGGAGCTCAGCATGTCTCACCCCACAAACCTTGAAACCACGAGCAAGGACCCTCAGAAAAGGATAAAAAATACCTATTTTCTGCTGTTTTCACCTTTATAGCTTTGTCACACACACAAAGATGTCATTTCAGGTATTTTGCTAAAACCACAGTTGTTCTAGTAGATCAAATACTGAAATTCTCAATCAGCCAACAAAGTGAGCCAGAGAGTTATGAAAAACACTGTACCATGAGGTAGCTGATAAAATTGCAAGTGCTGGCAACACTTGAAGCTACAGTCACTTCCATCCCATCACCTTGGGATGAACAAGCCCTGCTGGTCCTGAGTTAATTCCTGCATGCAGCAGGGAGCTGAGTGGATGCATTAAACAGAGAAAAAGGAGAAAAATTGGGAAAACTGGCTTCATTAGTATCTGAAATACATTAAGGAAAGGCAAACTTTGGAAAAGTGGTTGGGCTGTTTAAAGCTGCCCATATAAAAATTGCTCAGTGTAACTAAATGCTCCAAAGTAATATCCTTTAGTTAGAATCACAATTCATATTCTCAGCCTTATCACCTCTTTTTCCCACTCTTATTTTTTCATGTTTCCTTTCCTTTACAAATAAATGCCTATTTGTTTACCAACTCCACAATGACTAGAAAGTAGTTAGGGAAAAAAAGAGGTAATTCAAGGAATTATCATTGCTTACAAAGTTTTGTCTTCATCCTCTTCTGTTTTCAGCAGAGAGCAGTTTGTTTGCTTTGAAGATGATGTTTACAGCATCTCAATGAGCATGAGGTGCATCAGTTTTTATCTCATATTAACCAAAGGTTCAGCCAGGGTTTTCAAGACATGCAACAGTTTCCCCCTCCCAGTTTATCTTTCTGCTGAGTTGTTTGGAAAATGTTAGCTAAGCCCAAGATGCAAAAAAACATGAGATTATTTTAAACCCAACAACAAGGAAAAAAATATATCAATTAGGGACAAATATAAACAGGCAGCAGTCCAGAAATTCACTCCTGGGGTATTTAGCTCATGAGCGTGGCATGAAACAGGGCTGCAAATAAAATATATATTCACCTTTCTTATTTTTGCTATTCTTTAGTAAAGATTATAATGTAAAACTTAAAGCAATAAAGTGGAGTTAGGATCAATTAAGAAGGACCTATGGTGGCCCAACTACAGCCCTTCTTCTGCCATGGTGTCCTTGATCCTGCTCTCTGCCAGGAAAACATGGTCAGAGAAAGGCTGTAACTTCACTTGGGCTTTCCTTGCCCCAGCTTCCCACCCACAGGTTTGGGACACACTTCTCTACCTCAAAAGGCAGTTGTGAGGATGAATATGTCACTGTCAAGTGCTTGGATATTTATTTGCCTATTGAGGAACAGTCTTATCTACCTATGATGAAACAGATTATATCCTACTCCCAGACTTGGGCAGGCACCCTCCACCTTCATGCTGCCCTCCAGGACCTCATTTGATTTGACTTGGCTGAACAAGGAGAACACATGTGCTCCATCTTGTCCATCAGGGCACCATGTGCTCCACCCCATCCATCCAAGCACCACATGCTCCACTGCTCCATGGAGGCACCAAGAGATACCAGTTTCAAGGGCCACAGTTCAACCTTTGCCTGTGATATGTGGGTTGGGGAGGCCCACAACCTGCCCACCAAGACCTGGCACAGGCAGCAGAATAGGACCCAGCAGGCAGAACTGCTGGTATTATAGGAACCAGAGTCTAAGTCCATGCCTGTGGTGGGTTGACCCTGGCTGGATGCCAGGCACCCACCAAAGCTGCTCTATCAGTCCCCTCTGCAAGTGGACAGGGGAGAGAAAAAGTAATGAAAGGCTCATGAGTTGAGATAAGGACTGGGAGAGATCACTCACCGATTACCATCACAGGCAAAACAGACTTGAAGTGGGGATATGAATTGAATTTATTACCAATCAAAATCAGAGCAGGATAATGAGAAGTAAAGTAAACCTTAAAAACACCTTCCCCCCACCTCTCCCTCCTTCCCGGGCTCTACATTCTCCCCCCCAGCAGCACAGGGAGACGGGGAATGGGGGTTATGGTCAGTTCATCACAGGTTGTTTCTGCCGCTGCTCAAGTCCTTCCTCTGCTCCAGCGTGGGGGTCCCTCCCACAGGAAACAGTTCTCCATGAACTTCTCCAATGTGAGTCCTTCCCATGAGCTACAGTTCTTCACAAACTGTTTCAGTATGGGTCTTTTTCCATGGGGCGCAGTCCTTCAGGCACAGGCTGCTCCAGCGTGGGTCCCCCACAGGGTCACAAGTCCTACCAGAAAACCTGCTCTAGTCTGGGATCCTGTCTCCACAGGTCCTCAGGTCCCTGTCAGGAGCCTGATCCAGCGTGGGCTTCCCATGGGGTCACAGCCTTTTTTGGGCATCCACCTGCTCCAGCACAGGGCTCCTCCATGGGCTGCAGGGGGACAGCCTGCTTCACCATGGTTTTCACCACAGGCTGCAGGGGAATCTCAGCTCCGGTGCCTGGGGCACCTCCTCCCCCTCCTTCTCCACTGACCTTGGTGTCTGCATAGTTGTTCCTCTCACATATTCTCACTCTTCTCTGAGCACAATTACATCTGCCTAATAACTTTTTTTCCCGTCTTAAATATTCTATCACAGAGGTGCTACCACCATCTCTGATTGACTCAGACTTGGCCAGCAGTGGGTCCCTCTTGGAGCTAGCTGACAGTTTGCTCTCCCTAGCCTGGCATGACACTGAACCACTGCTGAAGGCAGACAGCAAAGGTTGCGCTGCAAGGACCATGCTGCCTGGGGTCCTGCCATCAATGTCCTCACCCACTAATAATGTCTTGCATGTATTTCTCAAAGGGTGCTTCATCCCCACCCATGGCTGCCCCATGTGAGCACCAGGCATCCCAAAGCAGTGGGGTGGTTGCTTCAGCAAAAGCACAGTGTTTCCCAAAGCTCTTTGACCCCCAATTCAGTCCTGATGGCATTGCAAGAAAAAATGGTGCAAATGCTTTGAGAGCTCAAGGGAAAACACAGCCCTGAAGTATCGGCACTTGTGTGACCATAAACCCGAACTCAACGAATCACATTCATTGTTTGCAGACTAATTCATATTTATTTAAAGTATTTTGATGCAAACACACTAAACTCATTAAATTAGCACTCCCACAATGTAATTAATATTTATTTAACTATTTATAGCCACTTCTCCCTGCTGCATGCATCTGCCCAACTCCCACCATGGGCACCTTCCCATTCCTCTCCACTGGGTTCCCACATGGTTCAAACCAGCTAATGAATGTGGACAAGGGAGTTGAAAAAGGAGTGTGAGGCAGACAACAGGGTAGGTGAGCCAAGACTCACATGCTTCTTGGTTTAACCTGTAATCATCCCCCAGAGGTTGGGGCTGTCTGTGAGAAAAATTTCCCTTTGCTCTCCAGCAGGTTTTCCCTGTATTGTCTGGGCAATGAAAGCAGCAGTTCCTGCTGGAAAGCAGACAAGGAGTCTGCTTGATTTCCTAAGAGAGGAGGCTGCTTGCCAGAATCTGCCTGGCCAATCATATAATACCCAACCTCAGTTGCAAAAGGTTTCTCACATTTGTATATGGTTTGTTTTCTAGCAGTTTTGCAGACTGGTGGAATATATCGGGCTCCTCTTCTTCCAAATTTCTGCATCCTGCTGAGAGATGGAGAACTGGGCAAGGTCCTCTGTGAGGCCAGCGTGCCTGGGTGGGCTCTGGGCACTAAATATTTTCATAAGCAACCCAAAATAAAATGTAGGGTCTGCTCCTGAAAGTGTTGCATGTGATGGGGGAGATGCAGTGCCTTGCAGGGTGGCTTTTGAGTGCAACTGGTTTCCATGGCATGCTACTGGGACCAGTCACCGTTGGCCTCTGTGGCCCCAAAGCCCGCTCTTTACATCTTTGCAGAGGTAAGTATCATAAGCCCCATGTAGTGGGCATGCAACGCTGGTTGAAGGAGCAAAGAAGCTCCAAAACTGCAGCTATGCTTCATTACAGAGAGAATCAGATTCATCCTCCTTAACAGCAATGGATGCATGTGCATGGGGTGCAGACCACTAGGGGCAAACCAGAGAGCTAAGCTGATAAAATTCACATACCTATGAATATTTGGGTTTATTATCTGCTTTCTGAGATCATCTTGGCTGCTGAGAAGCTAAAGTGCTTACTAGGTATTCTCAGGAGCGCCCACACCATGTGTGT